AATGCTTAGTTTAATAATAAGCAATAAAAAAGTTCAAGCGAAGTCATAAAGACCTACCAAATGATCTTAGAGACAGGCATGCAGTGGCCTTTCTACAATCCTCCACATCCACAGTGTGCCACCAGCTGCTTTTTTTAATTCCAAGCAATCCAAGTGATAAATTCAGATTCTGCTTTTGAAGGCATCATCCAATCCTTCCCTTTCTCCAGCTGCTACAGGTGGCCTCCCCCTAGTGGTAGGTTCCTGTCCTGGGGCACAAGCAATGAATAACTCACCTTTTCCTCAGAACCATTACCTTGTTTTAACTGTAAATGAGATCCTGCAGTTGCTTCAGGGCAGGTCTGTGATAATTTCTGTGAATTACAGGTGTTGTGCCAAATATGCCATTCAGTGTGACGTGGGGGTTATGTTACCAGGTGAAAAACAGGATGGACTTCTTGGAAGTAAGGACATTGAGATGTATATGTAGGTCACAGCACAGATGGCTGGAGAGATTGCTTGACAGTAGGACAATGGACTCCTTTGATGGGAGACAAAATTTGCTCCTCTAAAACTTGCTTGTTCCTCTATTTAAAGATGGCCTTAAAAGATAAGATGTCCTCAGAGGATCAATTAATTTGGCTCTCCCTCCCTTCAACTTTCAAGATAAGATGAAGGTGGGGAGACACTTAAGGGGGAATATCAGGAGTGCAATTTGCATTCTTAAAAAGTCTAGTAAATTCTTAATTTTAGGGTGAAATTTATTTCCTTCTCTCTTCTGCTATTGCTTACTTCTCTAAAAATGAAACCTACACAAATCAAAAGAAAAAAAACAAACAAAATGTCTCAGGATAAGTCTCAGTAATAAGGAAGACCAATACGAAAATTTTCTCTGCAGCCTTAATCACAAAGTCTTGTGTAGTTATCATGATGTCATTATTCCTATTTTATACACAGGCCTCCCCATTTTTTCTTTTAGCAATCTTGCAGAGTAGGAAAGCATTTTTTAAGCACTCAAAAAGAAGTGCACAGAGGATTTCTTTTAATGTGCAAAGAAGCTGTGCTGTCATTAGCAATGAAGCAGTGCTGCTGAGATCCAAGATTGAGAACATTTCCTGTGCTTGCCACAGAGTCCTACTATTGTCTAAAACAAATCACTAATAATCTTCCTAAAGTTTGCTTATGATGTTATTACTTCTCGTCCTATTAGGGGCACAGGGAAGGTCAGCCATGAAGTCACTCAAGATAGCTAACCACCTTTGTCCCCATCTCAGTACAGAGGCTGGATGACAGATGGTGGGCAAGACATGCAAACATGGAAAAAAAAGTCTGATTTTAATCTCATGTCATCTTTGTCGTCATCGAACGCTGAACAAGGCAGGCTCTAAAGATAAACAGTATCCACTTAATGCCCTAAAATATTTTGTCAAAGTGCAGACACAAAAGTTGTTGAATTATCATTGGCTTTTCATACCTCTGGCATCTCCAGAGTTGCAGCAAATCTCTTTGAACATATAAAATTCTGTGATGTGCTGTGCCAAATGCTCCTCTCACTAAAGTCAGCTTCAGTTTGCATGCATTGTGCAAAGTGTCTGAAGCTGGCTGCACAGCAATGGAAAATTCTGTCTTCAAATGGCCACTTTCTGCTTGTGAGATGAAAGCAAAACGGTTCCTGTGCTCCTTACTAACAACTTCAGTGGAGACGTTGTTCAGTTTCTCTGTTCTTTCTAATTCACAGCATATTCTTGCTGTGGCTTAAAACTTAACAGGAGTGGAAAGATAAGTATGAAGCTACCACAGCTGACTTTTTGCAATTACTGCCCAGGCAAATTAAAGGATCTATCCTATTTTGTATGTCAAACTTAATTTTTTCAGTGTATGCTCCAAGAAAGAGCAAAGAAATGGTGTGAAAGTCTTCAATTCCCCATTCTGATTCTCTATTCTTTTGCTGCAGTGTAATCAGCAGCACAGTTTCTTACAAAAAAGACGTGATTCGGACAAGTAAACAATTTATCTGATTTTCAGTGTAGTAACACTTGTTTTGATTTAGAGTTCTACAGGCTTTTGTATCTGAAAGTGTTGGTAAACGTCCCAGAAAGACCCAAACAAGACACTTAACTGCTTTAGCATTTTAGAAACTTTAATATAAACATGTTTCTGAAAAACCAGTGGTACATTCACATTCCCCTTTGACCACAGAACTGAACTTTTTTCTCGATACATATTTTCATAAAAGACATTTTCTTTGAACAACGCGAAGCAAATCCAGCTGATGTATTTGGATCCTTTTCCTTACTTTTGACAGCCATCTAGTGGACACCACGCAGTGCAACAGAACAAAATTTCTGTCACAACAGCAATGTCTTTGTGGTTATCTGGTGGTGCAAACTGCAGTTCTAGTTAACAGACTTCTAAATTCTAAAAATTCACTATTTTATAATCTAACAATGAAATAATTCGTAGAAGTCTGCCTTAGTTTCTGACTGGAAGAAATGACTGGTAATATAATACTCATATCATATCCACAAAAGGTGGGTGAAGAAAATAAATCTGAAAAGAGAACCATATATTCCCCTAATCCACTTAAATAGTTTTGAATCAGTTGAATATTTAAGGCCACTGATAGAAAAGTCAATTTAGTAGTCACTCTTTATTCAAAGTTTTTCTGCTGTGAGACACCTACATTTATATTCATTTATTTCTATCCAACTTTTAACTTTTGCTTTAAAGTTCTCAGACAAGCTTATATATATATATATGTATATTTGAAATTATGTTGCCATTGCAGAAATTAGTCTTATTGAGCACAGGAGTAAACAGTCGTCTTCTGTTTTACCTCAAATTCCAGGAATGATTTGCCCTCCTGCCCTCAATAGAACAACAAAAATAGAAAACTGTATTGTTTAGGAATCTATGTTTTGTTACAGCTGCTTAAAGGAAAAAAAAATTAGGCAATGAGATAGAAATGTTAGGAAATTTGGGTATAATGAGCCAAATCCTTCATTAGTATTATGATTATTTTGTGCTCCTGGAATATTTAGGAATTCAAACTCAAAAAATATTGATTGAGAGTAAAAGTAGTCATGCTAGTAACAAGGGTAATAGGGTTATGAACTTATGGCAGTACAAGCTGCAAATGACATTTTACAGTAGGGGTCATGCTAACTTGACCTTTCCAATACATTTTTAGATACTTTTTGTGAGCAGATCTCACAGTGATCACACAGATGCAACAAATAGGGAAAATGAATGGCAAAGAGGAGCTTTGCACTGTTCAAGATCATCTAGCAGGATAGTGACAGAACTCTCATTTGATGTCTCATGGTTTAATCTTAGTTTGAGATTGATAAAGTATAGCACATTTGAGTACACAGAAAAAGTTACATAATCAAATTAAATTTTGGAAGAAGTGTATGTGTTCTGATTTACAGCAGCGAATTGTTCTGCAAACTACAGAGAAAAGAGAATTAAATTACTGAAATTTCTTGACATTTTTAGTACTACTTTCTGTATTTTTTTAAAAAAGAGAAACATTGCCAGGCAATGAGCATCTCTGTCAAAATAGGCAATATATGTTTCTTTAATCAGTTCATTTAACAAAGCTGAAGCAGGCCACAGGAATGTTGTCATTTCAGTAAAGCACTCAAGTGGCAACCTCATGGAAACCTCAAGACAATGGCACATAAAACAAGCTAGTGTAGAGAGCAGCATGTACCTTCTGTGACACCAGTGCTAGGCTGAAGTCTAATCGACAACTGACCTGTACTGCATCTTTTCTCTTTGACTGTCATTAGATGTAACTAAATACCAGTGGGTGTTCCTCAAATGAGTTTCAAATTGAGTACTTTATAGGGGTTCAATACAAATACATACTATGGTGCTAACACTTATCCATGTTTAAAAAATCATGTGAAAGATCCTTTGTTCATCCCTCATTCTCTTAAATACTTTAGCAGTACTATTTAAGTTCCCAATAGTATGGCAAATGACCCTAAAGACCTAGTCTTGTTAATCCACACATTTGTAACCTCCGAGATTATGTATCACAACACATTAAGTCTAAAAATGAATCCACATGCTCCAAAAAGACTCCATACAGTACCAAATCCAGCTGTTGGGCTGCCAAGCAACATAGGTTGCCATAAGCACATACTCTCAGCATCACCCACCCTGTGCAAGTGTCTAATTGTTTGCAGACTCCTGTTCAAGGTCTTTCCACTGATTTTGAAAACCCTTTGTGGAAATATCACAGTCTATGGGAAACAGCATCTACTCTCTTTCTCTCCCCTTGCCCTTCAGCTTCTTGGGACAACTGTGTTCCCAAGGAAAGATAAGCCATTCTTCATACCAAATACAACAAGCAGAAGTGCTGGATCTAAACTGTCGTTCAAAGACACAAATGGCTACAGAAGTTGTGCTGCTTGGTGGTGAACAAAGAACTCATTGCAACCAGAATTCAATCTGGTTGCAAAATAGCAAATCTAATGCAGTCAGACGTGTCCAAGCACACACATATGCCTTAAAGCTACCCCAGCACTTTGTTTATTGGGATAATAAGAAATACATTCTTGAAATATTTTTGTAGCAATAAAATATTGTGATTGATTACTTGATAACAAAAGAGCCCTCAACTGCCTTAACAATAGGAGACAGGATAATGAGGGTCCAGCTCAGGAGAGATAGGGCCTGAAGAAAAGAACAATGAAACATCATGTTTCCTCTGGTATAGAGCTCACGGATACTCTCCATGCAGAGGAGCATAAAGCTTCCTCTATCCTAATAGTGGGGTTTTTCCTCTACCAAATTTCTTTTCCTTCAGAATTGTTTGTTTTGTTTATCAGTAATTTTAAAGTATTTATCTTGTGTGCCTTGTGTTTTTGCTCAGCAGCGGACATGACCAGGTCTTTATTTCCCCATTGCTATCAAGAAGCAATTAGCCATGCTAATTTTGTCAGAAGAGTGTTTATTAATTTCAACATTCTTAAGTCAGTGGCATAAATATTTTTCTCTTTTTTTTGCAGTTTCGATGTAGACAATGGTACATCATCGGGACGAAGTCCCTTGGATCCCATGACAAGCCCTGGATCAGGGCTAATTCTTCAGGCAAATTTTGTCCACAGTCAACGTAGGGAGTCTTTCCTTTACCGGTCAGACAGTGACTATGACTTGTCTCCAAAGTCCATGTCCAGGAACTCTTCCATTGCCAGTGATATGTAAGTACATTATAAAATACGTCTAGTCTGTAATTTGTCCACTGTCTTAAGATTTTTCCAGCCACAAGAATTTTTTTTTTTTTAATTCAGAGACAGTAATCACTTATGATACTGAAGTAATGGAAAATTGTTTGCTTATTTCTTTAGTGAAGCAGCTTTCTGGAGGTAAGGATATCATAAGAGTGTACTTGACATGTGTATGCACTCTATTATCTTTGACAGAATAATACTGACAGTCAATACAGGTGTACTAAAACACTACAGAAAACTCCTATTTTCTGGATATTAAGATATTTTCAAGACAAACAATACAAACTCAATCTTCCTTCTTCATGTTATTAAGAAATAGATTCCATTTATTTGCTCTAGCTATTCACTACCTGGCAGAAAAAAACTTCAAGAGAGACAAAAATTATTTCAAATACCCTTTTAACTAAAAGGCAAAATTTTAACAGAAGACCTTCAGAAAGTTATTCTGCTCTCTCACACTGTTCTTCTGTGATGTGAGTATTTTCTGCTAGTGAGTCATACTTTTCAAGTGTGTGTAAATCCAAGGTGCATGTGTAGTGGAAGTCGGCTGCAAATCTCTGCTTATTTGTAAGACAGTAAAAACATTCAAATGCCCTATCTTCTAGTCACTTCTAAGTAGGAGAAATTAATAACTCTTTTTTTTTGTACACTTCTTTGCCTTATCTGCTCAAATTTTATGCCAAGTAGGTGTTTATGGTTCAAGTATATATTACTGAAATAAAGGACCAGGCTTGTAAGAGTCCCTTAGTGAATGAATAAGTCTAAAGCATTACAAATCCAACATTAATATAAATGCTGGTTTTAGTGAAGCAAAACCCAATCAATATCCTCTTTAAAAAAATAGGAGTAGGCATAAAAAAGGACAAGGATTTTCAAAACACATCTGATATTTAACTTGCAGTCAGAACGCTCCTATTTTCAGCATTTTTAGAACTGTTGTTAGTTCATTTAATTATCGCTCTTTTTCTATGTATAGTATTAAGGTAAGAAAAAATCCTGCCTTTATAGAGGGTTAATGTAAGGTACATGTCTCAGTTAAGCCCTGTAGTTTACTCAGTAAGATTTGTGCCCAGTGTGACCAATTGTGGTTTAGACAAAATGGGTAAGAACAAGACCAAGTCATCTTGCTTTGTTATAAGGAAAAATGCTTTTTTCTTGGAAATAATGCCCCCCTTCCAGCAAATGCTCCTCTGACAGATAACCTTTCTTTTAGATGGAGAAGAGTCAAGCTTTTAGTGTGGCACCTGTGCCAGGATACATTTATAAAGACTTTTAAATTCAGGAGGGCAGTCCAGGTCATTGCATTGCTTAGATGAGTCATTTCAATGAAGAATTCAATTAGTACTCCATCCTTGAACTCATGATCCACTTCATTTCCTAGAATTTTGGGTAATATTTCAGCACATGGCAGTAAATTGGATAAACAATTGAATTACTGAAACACCAAGCACATTTTTTCCTTTTTTTCCTGTCTATTCTTCCTTTTAAAACTTTCTTCAAACACATTTAGATATAAAACCTATTGGACCTCACATCTTGATAGATTTTCACAGTCTCCTGTCACAGATGAGCTGTTGTATAAAGAGCATAAATATTCCTGCAACTGTTTAAGTATGGGACCACATTACAAAATGTAAAAGGCAAGTTGCTTTAAGTATGGAATATTAATCATATATATCAGTAAGCCTAATTGTAATAAGCTTGGTTGTATCAGAGAAATGAAGTGAAAGAAAACCAAGGAATGAAAGAGGGGAAAGTTTAAAAAGATGAAATAGAGAGGGAAGGAAATAAAAATCACAGAGGTCTTTATATATGGATTCAACAAGAAACTGGATGTGCTCATGAAAAGGAAACCCAGTGAAGATCATTAAAATAGAGAAACAACTCTGGCTCAGGACATTGCTAAATGAGGTGGAGGATGGAAGAGTAGTCAAGGGAAGTATCATACAACTTTTAGGTTACTCCCTTTTGCGTCTGTATGCATGCTTAAATATTGCATGTTTCTTAAGCATGAGAAAAATATATTACAAAATATACACATCATTCAAGTAATTCAAGTGGATTAATTGTACTTAACAGTTTAATCTAGATCCCCTAGTTCTTCAATACTTGAGCTACCAACCTCAATATTTCAAAAGACATGCATCTTATATTTGAAAGTAATAGAACATAAAGAATTTGGGCATTTCTATTACTCTCAAATACTGTGCTTACAGTAATACATTTAAGTCAGTAGCAACAAAAACAAAACTTCAAGATTTTAGTCAAGTATGGAAAGTCATGATAAGACAGACAGTGGATGGCAGTGCTAAAGTGCTGAATTCATCATTCTGTCATTATTTATTATGCGCACAGCTCCAGCCAAGGAAGAGAACACGTTGTGCTCAGTTGTTTGCAAACCCAAAATGAAAAGATGGGCTCTACTACAAACAACTTAAAGTCAAAGCACAAGATGACTAATAGAATCAGATAGTATCCCCAGAAGAAAGTACAATGCAAGTCATTATTACCTCACAGAGCAAGCAAAGGGAATTTCATTCAGGAAGTGAAGGTGGAAAGTAACAGAAACAAGGTCACAGAAGAAAGAGGGAAAGTTTCTTAAAATCAGAGAGACTAAAGTACATTTTGAAGTGAGGAGCTGGATTAGCTATGGAAAAGAATAAAAGGACAAGTGCAAGGCTGCTCTGATGACAGAAGATTAGTGGGACAAATGTGGGTGCAGTTAAGAGAGGCAGAAAAGACCGTTGTATGTAAGAAAGGAAAAGAAAATAAAATGGAGTGGGAGTCAGTAACACATTCTTTCAATTATCCCTTGGAAGAAATAGCATGGTCCTTGAGAAGAATAAAAGCAGGACATGGAGATGACATGAGGAGATTAGAAAAAGCTGTTCAAGGCTGTGAACTGAAGATGCAGGTAGTCTAGACAGGAAGATGCAAGGTCCAAGGCAGAAGAGCACTGATGTGTTGTGAAGCCCTGCTGTGGGATTTTCAGCAAAGAGATGAGGATGTGCAAGAGAAAAAGTAACTGAGCAAAGCACTGAGGGGTACTAAGCCAATATGAAAAATTATAGGACAGGATCTGTGATGGGAGATGGGGCGGGGGGGATGGAGAATAGAGGATGGAAAACAAACAAACAAACAAGTCCCCAGCAGTAGTGTTGCAACATAGAGAAAAAGAGAACCTAGCTGAAAGATGAGCAAAATGATCAGTGTTGTTGTGGAAGAATTGTTAGGTTTATATTTGAAGACATCAGTAAAGCAGAGTGCTTCGCGTATGTCTTGCCCAGGTGGCCTGATTACTTAACACTTAACAGTTTGAACTGCTGTGGCTGCCCAGAACTTGGAAAGGCAGGCAGAAGCAGAAGTGGTAATACTTTTTATTCCCTTCTTGCTAAGGGATCACCGCCCTGGTTAATGGAGCAAGAGATCAAATTAGTAGACAATTTTCATTTTAGCAAAACCCAAGTCCCTAGCCAGGTTAAAAAAGGGATTCCTAGGAAAAAAGCCAACAACCAGTCCACTGGCTGCATCATAGCCCATGTTTTACTGCCACTCTAAAGGGAGAAAACATATATTTCCCCCATGATCCTGAAGAAGCATAATAGGGGGTAGCAGACTAGACCAGAGCACCAAAACATTCTCAGTAGACAAGTCTGCCTGAGCTCCAATAGATCTTCTGAGTGTACCTCCCTTAAGTCTATCCTTCTCCCATTTCCACAAGATCATAGAACATAGCTCAGATGCAACATTCTGGTCCTCTCAGAACTTGGACAACTGAACCTCACTCACTAAAAAAGTAACTGGTATGGGGAGTTTTACTCCTTCTTTAAATCACAGAATCATAGAATAGAATAGAATCAACCAGGTTGGAAGGAAAAGACCTTTGAGATCATCAAGTCCAACCCTTATCCACTACCGCTGTGGTTAGCAGACCATGGCACTAAGTACCAAATCCAGTCTCATCTTAACCTCCAGAGTCAGTGAATCCACCACCTCCCTGGGCAGCCCATTCCAATGCCTGATTACTCTCTCGGTAAAAAATTTCTTCCAACCTAAACTTCCCCTGGCAGAGCTTAAGATTGTGCCCTCTTGTCCTACTGCTAGCTGCCTGGGAGAAGAGACCAACTCCCACCTGGCTACGACCTCCTTTCAGGGAGTTGCAGAGAGCGATGAGGTCTCCCCTGAGCCTCCTCTTCTCCAGGCTGAACAACCCCAGCTCCCTCAGCCTCTCCTCGCAGGACTTGTGCTCCAGTCCCTTCACCAGCCTTGTTGCTCTTCTCTGGACCTGCTCCAGCACCTCAATATCCTTCCTGAACTGAGGGGCCCAGAACTGGACACAGTACTCAAGGTGTGGCCTCATCAGTGCTGAGTACAGGGGAAGAATCACTTCCCTGGTCCTGCTGGCCACACTGTTCCTGATCCAGGCCAGGATCCATTGGCCTTCTTGGCCACCTGGGCACACTGCTGGCTCATGTTCAGCTTCCTGTCAATCCAAACTCCCAGGTCCCTCTCTGCCTGGCTGCTCTCCAGCCACTCTGCTCCCCAGCCTGTGGTGCTGCTTGGGGTTGTTGTGGCCAAAGTGGCACTTGGCCTTGTTGAACCTCATCCTGTTGGAATCAGAGCATCTCTCCAGCTTGTCCAGGTCCCTCTGCAGAGCCCTCCTGCCTTCCAGGAGATCAACACTCCCCCCCAGCTTGGTGTCATCTGCAAATTTGCTAATGGTACACTCAATCTCCTCATCTAAATCATGGATAAAGATACTAAACAGAACTAGGCCCAGCACTGATCCCTGGGGGACACCACTAGTGACCAGCTGCCAACTGGATGCAGCACCGTTCACCACCACCACCCTCTGGCAGAGAGTGCACCTGTGTCATAGCTTTGAAAGGAGATGTTGGAATTTTTTCCCTATGTCTAAACCTCACCACCCCCAATCTGTTTTTTCCGGAATGGGCAGGGGGGAACGGAGC